TATTATTAATTATTATTAATTATTATTAATTATTATTATTATTGTTGTTGTTGTTGTTGTTGTTGTTTTTGTTTTTGTACTTTGTCCACTATTTTTCTGTGAATAGTTTTATTTTTGGTAGCTAATAATAATTGTCTCATAGAAATTCCGTACAATTTTTAGTATATTTAACAGATTAAAAACTATCCACTACAACTTCTACCATTCCAGATTACTAGACAACCAGAGTCTAGGAAACAACTCGAACACGACACCGGCCTACATGTGTCACGACTCAACAACCTCATCAACTCCGGCTTCAACATTAGCACCACCAAAAACATCAACAACAGCAACAACAACGACAAAACCACCACTACCAACAACAACAACAACAACAACCGACTTGGGCCCGCAATATGCCGAGGTGATCAACATGGCCACGAATAGTGGCCACAAAAACGGCGGCAAAGAACTTAAAAGTAACGATCACATGGGCGATAAGAATGTTCTAAATTATGTAGAAATAGATTTCATAAAAGCACTAGTTCACAAAAATGATGACGAAGAAGAAGAAAAATACAAGAGCAGTGACGATCCTGTCTATAAAAATATCAACCATGTTGACGTGACCCTGAATAGAAAAAGTGTTGACAACATGTTCGAGGCTGACGGCGTTGATGAGGAGTTTGAGTTTAGGGGCAGTTAAACATCATCATCTTCTTCTTCGTCATCTTCTTCATTATCGTCTTTTTCATCATCTTCGTCGTCATCATCTTCTTTATCATCATTTTCTTCATCATCATCATCTTCATCATCATCATCTTCTTCATCATCATCTTCATCATCATCATCATCTTCTTCGTCATCTTTTTCTTCATCATCTTCATCATCATCATCTTCTTCTTCGTCATCTTTTTCTTCATCATCTTCTTCGTCATCATCTTCTTCTTCGTCATCATCATCTTCATCGTCATCATCTTCTTCGTCATCATCTTCTTCGTCATCATCATCTTCATCATCATCATCTTCTTCTTCGTCTTCTTCTTCGTCATCATCTTCTTCGTCATCATCTTCTTCGTCATCATCTTCTTCGTCATCATCTTCTTCGTCATCATCTTCTTCGTCATCATCTTCTTCGTCATCATCTTCTTCGTCATCATCTTCGTCGTCCTCGTCATCTTTATTTTTTGTTCAACAATTTTATCCCAATCATCTACTCCAAACTATTTTATTTGCATTCTTTTCCCATGAGCATTTTCCTGTATTATCAACTTTATCGTAATTATCATATTGTTGTTTTTGACGAATTTGTGTGTGTGTGAATGACTCTGTGTGTGTGTGTATATGTATGTGTGTGTGTTGTGTGTGTTTGCTAGTGTTATGTGTATGTGTGTCACTTGGTAGTAAATAAATGATGTGTACATATAAAATGAATGATATTGAACCTAACTCTTCACATAGCAATACATATGTGTGTACATACATATACACATATCCATTGTCAGCTGATTAACTCGTTGCAATATTCTGTTCTGTGCTTATGCTAAACAAGGAAGTTATTCGTTAAATATTGCTCTCAAAAAAGAAATAACAATAATAATTGTTATTATTTATTATTTTTTTTTTGTAAAATTAATTTCAAAAATGGTGAATTATCAATTTGACTTAATACATACATTGTTTCTATTTTATGATTACAATTAAATTTTACTCGATTTTATTTCTTTTAAATTCTAACTTTTTTCAAATTTATTTGATTTTATTAAAATATATTTTATTCAAATACGAAAATATAGATAAATTAACTTTGTTGCTAGATGTATAAAATTTCATGACGAGGCCAAGGGTTTACAGGGGTAGAATTCGTGGGGCAATGAAAAACTGGTGGTCCATAATAATCCAAAAGGTCGCAAATTTTTTGCTAGTTTCTTCATTAAGACCGGTGATTAACAAGCATTTAACGAAACAATAGTATTTGTAATGAATACGTTATCTTTTTTTTGGAGGCCACCATTTTTGAGGGTCACGAGGGCCCTGCTTACCCTACCTAGCCACCCCTAACTTAAATCTTGCCTTAGATATCATTTTGATTGTTTGTTTACAGAAAATTGACTCAATTTTATTTAAAATATTTGATTTAAAACTGTGAATGAGATAATTTTATTCTCAAATGCTGCGTGAATTTGATGTGCCGTTAAATGTTTCGTGTGAGAACTTCTGTTGAATAAAGCAACTTATAAAATGTAGTTTTTTGATTTTTTATTGAAAAAAATTACATTTTCGACAAAAGATTATGTCTATAGATGCTTTTATTCAATATTTTAAAAAATACCGTGGAATATGATTAGAGAAATTGAGCTATAGCACACAAAATATAACAATCGTAACCTACTAATAGGCTAGAAGCGTTTGAAATTTAACATAACTAATTAATAGGAAAATTGAATGTAGTAATTGAACTATAGTATTTAAACTTAAACTCGATTTGGAAGGATAATTAATTATATATTAAAGCAAAGATTTTTGAAACATTTAATGACAATTACAGATTTTAAAATACTCCGAGTAAAATTCACATATCGGAAGCCGCTTTCATAACGTAATGTTGCGATAAAAAAAGTTGTGTAATATCAAATAAATGGATTTTATCTATAAAAAAGAATTTGACAATATAAAAATGCCTTCTTACATTTTTTTTCAAGTTAATTATATAAATTAATAATGAAATTAACAAAAATTTTATGTAAATCTGTAAAGATTTTGAACAGAAAACTGTTCTAGTCTCCATCAGAACAATAAAACTAAGGTTAATTTGGCCTAAAATGTGGCTCTCATTTTCATTTCTACATTTATTTCTCTCTAGCTCTCTCTCTTTTGTTTTCTCTCTCTCTTTTTCTCTCTTTCTCTCTCGTTCTCTCTCTTTTTCTATTTTGTTTTTTTTAATTTGGCTCATTTAGCAAAAGTTGTTATAATTATTATAAGAGGGCTCATATATTGATTACGTCCTAATAATTATATACTAAAGTGTAATTATCAGAAGTGGATAAACGATGATGTATAGACAAAATGAATGAAATATACGGAAGATGGGATGAAAGATTGAAAAAAAAAATAAAGAAAGAGAGTGAACGAGAGAGAAAGAGAGAGAGAGAAAACAAGAGAGAGAAAGGGAGAGAGATAAACGTAAAAAGAAAAAGAGGAAGTGAGAAGAAAACAAGTATTGATAGAAAAGAGGAAATAAAAGAGAAAAAAACTTGAATATTTATAAAAAGATTAGGAAAATAAGTTAGAATGAAAGAAAAAAGGAATAAAAAAGAGAATAATTGGTATGTTTTGGTTAGAAGAATGTGTTGCTTTGATGTTTTTTGTCAATTTTTTCGTTTGGTTAGGTTGATAGTAGAAAAAAAGAAGGGAAGCAGAGGGAGAATTATATTAAATTTCTTAAAATAGTGGGATTTTTGGTTCTATGATTTTCACGTTTCAACTTTTAATTCTAATTATAGTTTAGTGCTACTCGCAGTTGGAGTCAGTTGAGTCGTGAATGATTTATTTCTTTTATTATTATTATTATTATTATTATTATTATTATTATTATTATTATTATTATTATTATTATTATACAGCAGTAGAAGTAGTAATAGTAATAATAATAATAGTAGTGGTGGTGGAAGTAGTTGTAGTAGTAGTAGTAGTAGTAGTAGTACCAGAAGTATTAGTAATAATAATAGTAGCAGCAGCAGTAGTAGCAGTCAGGTTTGCTGGATTTATAGGTGTGAAGGCCCTTTTTAAAAAAGAAATAAAAGCCCCTTTAAATATTCAGTGGAGACCCCTTAAATACTTTGAAGGCGACCTCTATGAAACTTAATTGTTAATGTTTTCAGCACCTACACCAGCAATGATCGGTTCTGCGTTGAATTTAACGTAATTTTTTTTCTATTTCCATCTTTTTTTTTGAAGAGTTTCATCACTGAGACAACAATTCTTTTTTTCCCACAAGTTACATTACTTTTTTATTTTGAATCTTTCAGCCACTCATTAGTGCTACACTACTGCAGATATTAATTCTCACATTGTTATAATCTTACTTAGTATTAATATAATTGTTATTTTTTCTTGTATAATATTTTTGTCTTGTATGTGCATAATTTTTTTCATTTATATTTTATATTTATATTAAACTAACGGTATTAGTGTTATCTTGAAACTTCCTGTTATGAATAATGTTGTTATTAATGTTACCTCGATATCTTGTGATTATTTTTATTATTATTGTTCATATTTTTATTTTATTGTGGTTTATTTTATTAAATACATTTTTTTATTACCATTGTTTGCTGTATGTCTTTGCCTGTGTTGCTTGTTAGGGTTATGTGCAATCAGTTTAACACAATAGAAAACTGCAATGGCTTGATATTGTCACTTTATTAGCACACACACATCAAGTTGAATTTTATGATAGTTTTTATTATGAATAAATTATATTTAATTGTAAATTTTAGTTTATTAAATTGAAAGAATATTATTTTGTCAAGAATAATTTCACGTCACATTGATTAGCTATAAATCTCTGTGTTCTTGTCGCTAATATTGGATCAAAATCTTCAGAACAAGATAAATTAAATTTAAATTAAAATTCAACTTATCAAATGAAAAAATTTGTTAGTATAAAAAAATGGCCAGCCAACAAAATCAAAATTTCCTTTCCAATCCGACCACAGCCATCAGCACGATCATCATCTTTTCCATGCTTAATATGCCAATCATGGCGGTGTTTTTAAAGTCACAGTGTAGCTCGGGCATTTGGGAAGATGGGAAAGATTTCTGCTTTTATTTTTACGGAACTGACAAAGCAATTAGGACTGATTCAATCCAAAACGCTGAAAACTACTGCGCCTCGAATCAGCAAGTACTGATAAAAATTTATAATTCCAAGATGAAGAACTTGCTCTCTGATGCCATAGTTAATTGGGACAGCAGTATACATCCACTGCAAGGTTACTATTTCACGATGGGACTGCAAGAAACTAATGGTGCATGGGGCTGGACGGATGGTTAGACTCTTATTTTTTATTGGTTCAACTTTTATAATAATTCAGGGCTTAAAACCAGTGGAAAAGAGCTTTTTTGTTTCAAACATTTTTCCAAATGCTATCTAACAATAAATTAAACTTTCCAAATATTCCCAAATAATAAATTTCACAACCTTAAAAAATCTTCTAGGAACCCCATTAACCTATACATCATGGGCTAAAAACGAGCCGATGTCATACTTCTCATGCGCTTACGTTGTCTACAACTTGGTTGAGATAAACTGGTTTTCTGGATCCTGCGTTGATCCACATAACTTCATTTGCATGGACCCGATATTTTGTTAGTTATTTTATTCTTAAAAATTTATATGAAGAATAAAAAAAAACACACGTCTTTCGACTTTATTTTATTAATTTATGTATGAGATGAAACGATAGATAATAAAAATCAAATTACTAAAATTGCATATGACGTTTCGATCCCATGTTTTATAATAATCTCATTTCATAGCGTCAAACGCTTCTATAGACACTAGAAAAACAAGTGTGGCTACCACAAGGGCTACTACTATTAAAGCAGAATTAACAACGACTACTAGAAGTAACATTGAAGCTGAAACTGCTGCTACTAATGTTATTTCAAACTCAAACACGGATGGAACAACCCTCTTTATACCCACTGTTACTCCTATGACTAATCGAGTGACCAATGACCCAGGTTTATTTATGTTGAAGTCTTTTGGTTTTAGGTGTTTTTCAATTTTGGGTTCATGTTTTAGTTGTAGATGTTTAATTTTGCGTTTATAGTGTGTTTCTGCCTCTTTATTATCTTCGTCATCATTTCAATAATAATTATAAAACTTAAAATAACAACAATTATACTTATAAGAATATAATGCCAAAACCGTTGGCATTATAGCTGGATCAGTGATCGGTTTTCTGGTTCTTGCAGCCATCATAGGTGTCATCGTCTATTTTGTGATCAAACGAAGAAAAAGGTTAATAAGAATAAAAATATTAATAACAATAATAATAATAACAATTATCATTATTTATATTATATTATTATTAACATCATCATTTTTTGGTATTTAAGTAAAAATAAGAAAAAAAAAATTTTACATGAAACTTTTCATAAAAATCCTAGATCCCAATTATCCAATACAACTCTCAATCTATCAATCCATCCGGTTGTCGGTCCATCTGGAGATGGCCAGTATTCGAAACTGGAGCATCCGATGGATGACTTTTTGTCTGGAATCATGGGACTGTCGGATAATCAAGAAGCGAGGTACAACGACGATATTTTCGGTGTCGGAATCGGTTTCGGAAGTGTCGGTTTCGTGAATAACGGTACCGGAAACATCGATTTCGGAATGGGCGGTCTAGGTAATTTCGATGGTAGCAACCAAAGATCGGAAAACGATTATGTCGTCGGTAGAAGTATTGGGAATAATAAAATAAGTAATAATAATAATAAAATGAATAATAATGATAATAAGACGAATAATAATAATAACCTACAAATACCAGCAAATTTACAACCGGATGAAGTTCAAAATAATAATAATAACAACAACAATAATAATGATGATGATGATGCATATGTGAATGATGAAGTCATAAACAAAAGTAGCCTCAAGCAAAATAATAATAATAATAATAACAATGATAATAATAAATTTGATCAGCAATATGACCGTGATATATTCGGTAATAACATCAACAATAACCTGAACAATAATAACAACAATAACACTTATGGCTGTGATAAGGATAATGATGATTATTATTATTGATATGACCTGTAGGCTAACGAGAACAATGACCATTACATCAATTACATCAAGTTATGATGCTATTTAAATCGGGTGAATGGCTATTTTTGTGTTTTTTTTTCTTACATAGCAATAACAGCAGTAGTGATTTTTAGATTTTGGTAACATCAGTAACAACAACAACAAAAATGACATCAACAACTTTCAGAAATGCCAACAACAACAGCATCAAAAATAACAACAACATCAAAAATGACATCAACAATAACAAAAACATCAAAAATGACAACAACAACATCAAAAATTACAACAACATCAAAAATTACATTAACAACAACAACAAGAACATCGAAAATGACGTCACCATCCGCAACATCATCATCGACAACATATTTACCAGCAGTTGTAGTAGCAGTAGTAGCAGCTGCAACCACTCGACCATCATCATCATCATTTTAAACATCATCATAAAAAGAAGATCACTACAAAGAAAATTATCATCACAAACAATAACATCAGCAAAGCAACAACAACTACAACAACAAAATATTGTTAATTTTTATATAAAAAAAAATCTTTAGAACACTTGTTTAGAACATTAGAAACATGCCACAGAATTCTGAATTTTTTTATTGTACAACTATATTCAACTAATTAAATCAACATAACACACTCAAACAAAAGCACACACATACACACTCGTACACACAACACTACACACATAAATACATCCCATAAAACACGTATACAACTCATATGGCACACAATATCACCAACAATATTCATAATATAACACATGAATAAACACACATCGTCCTATATAAGCAATCGCATATAATATTAAAACACATGTGACACTTATATACATACATAACACATGGGAAACATATATGTGTAAAATTACACACACTCACATACACACATATTTGCCAACATTTATAACTCACACACAACACGCAAATATGTGTTTGTATACAGACGACAATATTACGAATAATTCACAATATTACAAATAATTCCACTTACATTTTGTAGAATATATATTTTCACCTTTAAATATTGTATATATATATATATATATATATATATATATTAGAGTATCTATTTATATCTTTTTAAATGTTTTAACCTCTCTATCTTGCCAATGTGTGTGTGTGTGTGTGAACGTGTGTGTGTGCGTGTGTGTGTGTGTGTGCGTGTGTGTGGGTTTGTGTGTGTTTGTTTGTGTGTAGTTTCACATTTAGATAAAAATTTTATTTCTATATTTCTGCCAATTAGTTTAATAGCTCCTTATTCATTTAAGTTCATACCTTCATTCGTTGAACTATCGTCTATTTATTCCATACATTTCAGTGTTTATTCAACGAAGACGAATAAAAATATTTTTAAAATTAAAATATTTGGCTAGATGTAAACCCTCATATGAATAATTAAGATGATAAAGCACGAGCTGCAATACGGAAAACCATTAAGATCAAAGTGACGACATTTCATCGCTCATTTGACGAGATGATATTCACACACGCGCGCGCACACACACACACACACTCACACACACGTATTCATAAAACTCCTATCGTAATTTTTTTATGAAATACACACACAAGCAAACAAACAAACACACACACACACACAAGCAAACAAACACCAAACACACTCCTAAACGCACGAACACAGATGCATACAGACAGACACGCACTGCACATATATTGTGTGTGTCTGTGTATGTGCACCAGTCAATGTTAAATACTTTGCTTCTATGT